CGGCTATTCTCTCACTGCTGTTCGGGATCTTTCAGAATAGCCCGAACAGCAGTGTGAAGCCTGCCGGAGGTTCGGCTCAGCCGATCCAGATGTTGGATTGGCTGAGTCGAACTCCTTCTGCACTTCGGGTCAGCCGAACATGCTGAGCATGTTCGGCTGATCCGAAGCCACACGAAGCAAGCCGATGTACGGCTGATTTCAGCCGATATACGGCTGAAATCAGCCGTACCAGCCTGAAGTGAATAGCCGAACGGTGTTCAGCTCACTTCACTTCTGATCGGTCATTCACTCGGCTGCCCTCGGCAGCTTTGTGAATAGACCCCTTAGTGAGGAGGAACCACAGTGACCAGAGGGAGACAAAACATCCTAAAGTTTCAGATACCAACTCCACCCATCGCTCTTCAAGAGAGTAAATATTTAACTCACCACCCTCCAGAAGGGGGAATATTGAACATTTGTATAAGCTGCTTGTAATGTGTTTTTTAGTGACCGGATCATTTTTAATATATTGTAGGTAGATGTATTTGAAAGTAATTTATACATGATGCTTGGTGTATTCTAAAATCATTTAAAATATTTGTTAAAGTTGATGAAATCATATTCTCATTTTAAGGGATACATTTACTTCATGTTCAAGGCATTTTTCTCTTAATAAAAAAAAGATTTCTCCTTGTTTAAATGTATTTAAATATTGCTGCTGAAAAGGGGTATTCAGCTTCCCCATACAATGCTGCAGGGACAACACTCCTACCCCAGACCTTGCCAGATCCTGATATGCCAACTTCCAAAGCAAAAAAAGGTTCCAGGTAGACATGTCAGCCAGCCAAATTTTTTTTTTTTTTTTTAATTCTTTCGCTTTTCAAGATACGGGTCAGAAAGTCAATTTGTTTTGTTATTCAGAAACAAATTTTAATTCAGATTTGGATCTTTCCAAAATGAGTTAACCTTTTATACAATTTTGGATGAGTTAAACACTGTTTTGTTGCAGTAAAATAATTGGAGAATCTTATAATACCCTCATCAGCATATCTAGTGACACAAGATATTGAAGCTCTGTACTCCAGCATCCCCCATGCAAAAAAAATCGAAACTATTAGTAAGTTTTTAGAAGAAAATGATCAACCACAAGGGATTTATATTACGTTATTCTTAAAACTATTACAACATATATTTACAAGCAACATTTTGCAGGGGACCACCTACCTCCAGGTGCAGGTGGTTGCGATGGATAGACGTTATGCCCTATCATTTACCAACCTGTACCTGGGGGGTGGTAAAGTGACCTCTTTGCTAATGAACAGGCCTCTTTGCCCCTCGCACACATTTTACTATGGCAGAGTGTGGACTGGGACGCTGGAGTAGCTATGTCTTGCCGTCTGCCCGTTGTAAATAAATGTAGGGATGGGAAGCTCCCATTGGCGGGGCACGGTAAATATACGGCTTTTTTTCTGCTCGTGTTCGCTCCCTAGAAAGAAAAACGTTACATGATGATGTAAAATGCTACTTACACTGTACACTGAAGTATCTGGGTATTGTTTTCTAAATCCGTTGTATTTTCAGTAGCTGCAGATATTGTGAACATTCCTTCAATGATAAGGTCACCTCCTTGATAATACCCAATATCTTCTTCTCTGACCCTGTATCTGTATTGTACAATATTACAAATTAATAGACATGTGCACTGCACAAAAATACGTTTCGTTTCGTTTTAAATTCGGATTTGTGTTATTTCATTTTTCGTGATTCGGGTGTGAAAGTCAATTCGGATTCGGAATTCGGATTCGGACGAAATTCGGTAGCGTTAGTATGAACGTTCGTTTCGTTTTCTGTTCTTATTCGTTTCTTATTCGTTTCTTATTCGTTTCGTTCGTTTGCAGCAAAAGTGACATTTGAGGGGGAAAAAATATTTTTTCTCCTTCTCTAATGTCACTTTGCTCCAACGAACGAAACGAATAAGAAACGAATAAGAACAGAAAACGAAACGAACGTTCGTGCGAACGCTACCGAATTTCGGAAATGGAAATTCGGATTCGTTTGCATTCGTTATGTCTGTAATTCGGAATTCGGATACATCCGAATGTCCGAATTTACGAAAATTCGTCAGAATTTCGATTCGGAACGAAACGAATCGCACATGTCTACAAATTAACTAACACTGGAATTCTCCCAGTTGTGAATCTGTGTCTGAACAGTTTAAGTATTATGAAGGGCTATGATGGGCATATTCAATTTCAGGCTAATTTGACTCTTCACTGATACTGTACATGTATGATTCTACAGGTGTTCACTGGTAGGTGCATTCCCCTAGTGCACATTCAATCTATAGTAAATAGGATAAATATGGTTGTGAAATGCCAGGTGAAAGCCATTCAATCTTAATTGAGTGAATGTCAGTAAAAGACTTGCTGGGTGAATTGTTCAGTAACATTTTCACAATAAGGCCCCTGAAAATGTTTTAAAAATACATTAAACTGTGTTAGCATTAATAGAGAGTAGGCCAGAAAATTGTGCCACTGAGTTAAAATCTGCTTTTACAGTTTACTGTAAATGTAACATTTATTGTGTGTCCAATTATAAAGAGGGCGAGTGTGACTGTAGGAGGTCCAGCAAATCTGAGTGAATGTTAGAATAGTAAATTGCCAACAAATATTCATTATGAATACTATAAACCTTTATATTTCCCTTTCCTAACATGGCACTCAATTATCAGAAGTACTAGAAGATTGCTTTTTGTCAAATGTTTTTGTATGACATCTTGATTTTACTAATGATTATTTATTTTAGGGCTAATTTGGTGGGGTTTTTTGACAGGCTGCCTAAACTAATTAGCTACAATAACCTAATGACTGCTAGGTGATGATGAGGATCATGTGTCTAATATTTATTTCTATTTTAGCATATTAGGGGCACAACAATCTTTCACATCAGAGATGAGTGAATCAATCCATCAGAGAAATCATATGCATCAGCAAATCCTATTTTTAATGTGTTTAAATATATTAACCACTTCAAGACCAGGTGTTTAGACCCCCTTCCTGGCCAGGCCATTTTTCAGTGTTCAGTGCTGCGGTACTTTGACTGAAGTTTATTCCGTCATGCAACGCTGTACTGAAATGAATTTTATACCATTTTTGGGGGACAGATAGAGCTTTCTTTTGGTGGTATTTAAACACCACTGGGCTTTTTATTTTTTTTACTATAATTAGGAAAAATTACTGAAAATTTTGAACAAAAAAGTTTTTTTTTACATTATGTTAGGAAACATTTATTATTACCCAGTTTTTTGGTAAAATATAAAAGTCGGGGTTACGTCGGGTAAATAGACACCAAACATGTCAAGCTTTAAAATTGCGCGCACCCGCGAAATTGCAGAAAACTACCATACCCAAAATTGGCCATAGGCGACGCTTTAAAAGCTTTTACTGCTCATCAGTTTAGTGTTATCAGTGATTGATGGCCCTAGAATTATTGCTTTCACTCCGACGTTCATGGTGATATGTAACATGTGCGGCGTAATGGGCGCAATCATCTTTTTTTTGCACGACGCATGTTTGCATGCGTGTATGTATGGGTGGGGACTTTAAAACATTTTTTTGTTATTTTATTCTTTTTTATGTGTAACTTTAAAAAAATTTGGGGGGGACTTAATTTTTTTTTCCTTTTTTTCCACTAAACTTTATTGCTATCACATACGGGGGCTAATAAAACCCCCCTATGTGATAGCAAAATATGTGACAGGTCCTCTTTATGGAGACATCAGGGGTCTCCAAGAACCCCCAAAAGAAGCTGATGAAGCAGAGATCTGCTCCATCAGCTTCTTTGCAGCTTCTGAAGCTGGAGAGTGACACAAGAATGCGGAAGTGATGTATTATACAACACTTCTGCATTCTTGCAGAGGAGAGGGGACCGGAGGGAGCTCGTGTACCGAGCTCTCTCTGATCCCCTGTGACACAGGCGACATGCTGATCCCGGGCTCGCACCGGGCACAGCGGAGCACGGGATCAGCGGGACAACTGCGGCAGGGGGCCACGGAAGGATACACACCGATCGGCACACCATACACGCGATCCGCCGGCTCTACAGCCGGCGGATCGCTTGTGTGGTAACATGCATCGCTGCCTGTTTTTAAATACCGGCCAGTTCCCGCTCGCACGCGCCGGGCGGTGCGTGCAAGGGGGCGTGTCTGAGCGGACGTCTAAAGACGCCCGCTAAGATCTAGAAACCTCTCGGCCGGCCGTTTTTTTACAATGGCCGGCCCTGAGGTGGTTAATTTAATGATATTCGAAGTGTGGAGAATAATTCATAAGTTACAGTTAGGATGGATTACCATACTGCAAGATTCTTGAATAAGACAGAATACAAATATTTAGGCGAATCAAAGTTAGTGAGTCATTGATTCTTTTTTTAAGGTTTTTTTAAGTGTTTGTACTTCCTAGCTCTCATACATCTCATATGGAAGTCCATTTAAAAAAAAAAATATTTGTATTCATAGAACGTTTTTATCAAAAGCCTAGAAAATAAACAGAGCCAGTTGAATACTTATAAAAAAAATGAAGACAAGGTCAGAGACTTACAAATGTTGTCATTTTGCACTAAACAGAATTAATTGGTTTAAAAAAAGGTTAAAAAATGCCCCTTTTTTTGTTTTAGCATATTTTAGGACTTTGTGTTAGGTGACTGGGTTCCTTTTAAAAATGCTACAGTTACTTTATAATGTCTAAAAGAAACACAAACTACACCAAAAGACAAGAAAAAGGGCAAAGGCAAATTTAAAAACCTATTTTATTTGGGGTATTTTGTGTGTTTTTATTCATACTATGTAATTAAACTCAAGATTAAAAAAAATACAATTGTGGGGCTTTTTCCATTTTCTTTTTTAAAGACAAAATAAATTAAGTCCAAAAAAAAAAACAACTTGAACAATACAATGAGACATTGCATATTTTTAAAACATATTTTTGTTATATGTTACAAAATATTAAATAAAACAAAAATGCATTGTCTTTTTAAATTTTCCCCCGCCATCACAAAAATGAAAAAAACCCTAATTTAAAACCCTTTAAAACCTTGCATTCAAATACAAGAACCGTGACCTGAGAGGATACAACACAGAATCCAAGAAACGGTGATGCTTATTTTTTGTAGTCATAGCTCATCCTTGTTTTCTCATCACATACGATATCAATATTTTTTCATGATGTATTCACAGCACAATAATAAAATGTAACAATTGGACAGAAGAAACATTTTAAGTATGTGGGAATGAGAGAGGATTTTGTCAATCCTCTCTCCTTTTTATGTAGTTAGAACACTAGTTATTGTATATGACGGGTTTGAATTTAAGTTCACCAATATTTTGTTGTGATAAGTACAAATAAATCATAGAATCGTCTTATCTCATAACCCTTGCAACATTTCATAAGTGGGCTGTACCGATAGAGATAAAGTGCAACTGCATTAGTCTGCAAACCAATATCAGACCCAACACCATGTCTGTAGACAATAATACAATTTAAATTTAAGTGAACATATTGAGAAGCAAACCCCCTTAAAACCTCTAGGTGGTCTGATTTGCTTGGTGGTGCAGGCCTGGATAATTACAAATGCAGATTCCATATACAGTCCTTTTTCTTTATTGAATTTAAGATCCTCACCTCCCAGTACTAAACCCATCGCCTGCCACTGAAAGGTTCATCGCCAGAACCTCAAATCCCAACTTACGGTTGAGCATTTGATAACTTGAGTGGGACATAGTGCTAGAAAGTTTGGGACTTAATTTGTACTTGAACAGAATTCAGGAAGTTATAATTCAAGATATTTAAAATGGACCTTTTATGGCAATCACAGGTGCTTGTAGGAACCCCCAGAAGGTGCAGCATTGTTGTTACGTAACACCATAGGTCATGCCAGGTTCAGGTCAAATATTTTTCAGATACAAAATATTCTATTCCAATCAACCTAATTTTTTACTCCTCTGATAATTAAAAACAATTATGATTTTACTTTGCCCAAAATAAGCTTTCTAGAATTTCTCTCAGGTTTTATGATAATTATGTAACATTTAGGGAAAAATATACATCCTAATATTCCAGCACTGGAGGTCAGTATGGCGAATATCTCAACAGCTACTGTATACTTTCCTCTGGTGCTCAGATAGGCTGGGATCATGGCAATCCAGACACTGCAGAACACCAGCATGCTGAAGGTGATGTACTTGGCTTCATTAAAACTGTCCGGTAATGTCCTCACCATGAAAGCCAGAACAAAACTCACAGCTGCCAGAAGCCCCATATAACCCAACACAGAGTAGAACCCGATAACGGACCCTTCATTACACTGAATGATGATCTTCCCAGGATAGGAGTGCATGTCATACTCTTGGTAGGGAGGAGACACTGACAACCAAATAACACAGATCAGAACTTGGATGGAAGAGCAGATTATGACAACATATTTAGAAATCTTCTCTCCCACCCACTTCCTCCAGTAGCTCCCAGGTTTGGAGGCTTTGAAGGCAATGCAGACTGTTATAGTCTTGGCCAGAACACAAGAGACTGCGATGGAGAAGAAGACCCCAAATGACATTTGTCTCAGCATGCAGGTTATATCCACAGGACGACCAAGGAATAAGAAGACACAGAGGAAGCTTAACAAGATAGAGGTGAGGAGAATGAAGCTCACAGTTCGGTTGTTGGCTTTCACAATTGAAGTGTCCCGGAATAAAACAAACAATGCCAGTATACATAGAGTTGCAGCAGAACATAAGAGAGAGATAGCCTCAAATGCCCCAGTGATGAGGTCTGTCTCATAGGACAGATATTCATATTTTTTGAGGATACAGATCACTTTTCTTTCATCTGGCCACTGGTCAGCTGGACATTTGTGGCAGATGTCACTGTCTGCAGGAGGAAGAACAGCATGTTACAAACCTTCACAATTATTAAATCAATTACCGTTATTAAAAACATAAAACATATCAGTCACTTCTTCCATAAAGTAGATCTAACCCTTATCTGAATGACACTTAGGGGTCTATTCACGAAGCTGCTGAAGGATCTGGCCGTAGCTTCGGCCGATCCTTCGGCTAGCTTCGGCCCCAAGACCCCTTTGGTTCTACTGAACCGAAGGGGTGCTGTAGGGGCTATTCACAATAGCCCGTACAGCTCCCGATCATGGCCGAGCGGCTCAGCCAAGCCGAACGCATATGCATCAGCTCGGCTGAGCCGTGCTGAAAGCCAAAGCTGGCCGAGCCGAATGCCGCTCAGCGACATTCAGCTATTCACTCACTGCTGTTCGGCATCTTTAAGAATAGCCCGAACAGCAGTGAGAAGCCTGCCGGAGGTTCGCCCCTCGCCGATCCAGATGTTGGATCGGCTGAGTCGAACTCCTTCTGCACTTCGGGTCGGCCGAACATGCTGTGCATGAAGCAAGCCGATGTACGGCTGAAATCAGCCGTACCAGCCTGAAGTGAATAGCCGAACAGTGTTCGGCTCACTTCACTTCAGATTGGTCATTCACTCGGCTGCCCTCGGCAGTTTGCTAAGAGGTTCAGGTTTGTCAATTTCCCTGAGTATGTGGTGAATCCGCAGGATTCATGAATGTGTTACTTTTAGTTGAAAGGTTTGCTGGTTCACCTTTAGAAGTAAGGAACAACTTTTAATGGAATGCAGTCATTGCCACTGGTTAGCACTTTCTATGAAAGGATAGGCTCAAAGGAACCATATTGTCAGTGTGCTAATGCTGTTAAGGAGATCTGGCAGTTCTATGTTTTTGTTTTTTTTTAATGACAAGAAAAAGATAAAGTAAAGTTGGAGTCAGATATGCAGACTGAACCTAGGCAGATATGTCCATCACCTTTGATTAACATTAGGAATGCACCGATACCTGTTGTTCGGTATCAAGTACGATTACCAATATTTTTTTTTGGTACTCGCCAATACCAAATACAGATACCGGAACTCCCATTAAAGAAGTCGGGCGGTGTGTAATGACTCGTCAAACCGTTTCTATGCTCCCTCGTCAACAGGTGAAGATGATGAATGGATGCGGCTTTCTGGCCAATCAGGAAGGGCGGGGGAATGACTCGCCGCCTGCTTCCTGATTGGCCATCTTCCCGAACAATCAGGACAGTGGATGGCCAGTCATTACACGCTGCCCAGCTTCCTGATTGGCTGGGAAGCCGGCTCCACGTTTCCTCATCACCAAGTGGCAAGGCAGCATGAAGTCGGCTTCCCAGCCAATCAGGAAGTCGGGCAGTGGGTAATGACTCACTGCCCATCTTCCTGATACTGGAAGTTCTTGAGTATTTGAGCGAGTACTCGTTCTCACCCACCCGATCATTTGGGTGAGAACGAGTACTCGCTCAAATACTCCTTATCAGCACCGATACTAGTATCGGTATCAGTGCATCTCTAGTTATCATAAACAATTTCCCTTTTCTCTTTACCAAAAGAACCCTAATTTTACCATGCTTTCATCATTTTCTGTCTCAGTGCTGCTGAGATGCTCCAGCCTGTTTCAGTCACTTTCTGTCTACATGGTCGCATTCCTGTGTTGGCTGCACATCCTTGCTCTGAACATGCTTCAGGATAGTGACAAGGCCCATGCCTGCACAATGCATGCCACCGCATCCACTTGTGATCTCCACCAGAGGCACATGTAACAAGCTGGCAATGTAGGACACAATTGAAAGACAGATGTCAACTCCCATAACAGGTGCCTGAAGAGAGACCTTCATTAGCAGGGCTACTATTCCTTAATAGAAGATTTAAAAAGATTTACTATTTACAATTTTCTTTGTGAATAAGAAACAAGAGGTACAATTTACCCCGTACTCCTTCACCTAGGGAGGGTGGATATCTGGAGTCCCTCCTGCAGGCCAACATTTCCCTTTGGAAGTAAATCATTTCGGGATGAGGTCCTTGTCTTTAGGAATATGGGGATAAGGTACAGTACTTTAAAAAGGGGGGTGAGTTTTTTTCCACCCCCTTTGCAAGGTGCCCTGTCAATGTTGAAGGCATGTGTCCTGATATAGTTAGGGAGAGAGTGGCAGTGAGTGTCCACTCCCCTCCTGAACCATACTATATTACATGTCTCTACCATTGGGAGAGTACATTGTAGGGAGGGGGGAAAGCCACCCTCCAAGCAAGGCAACTTGCCACCATGTTGATGTAGACAAGGGTCTCATCTCTACACCCCTGGCCTGGTGGATATGAAAGTCCTAGGGGAGAAGGTATCAGAATCTGAAAGTCCTCTTTAGAAAACAGGCTCCTTCAGGTATCCATTCCCCTATTTGAATGAGTACAAATCAATCATGATGAGTATCAGCCAACAATGTAGACACACCACCACAGTGGCCTGCTGCTATGACGATTCCGCCACACTGCAAAAACCCATTGCAAACTACAGCTCCCCAGCACTGCTGCAATGTAAATTCAACACTGGGGCATCTGGGTGATGTCATTGACTGATATGATCATGACAATATTTAGTCAATGACACCACCCAAGGTCTATCCCTACTAAGAACAAGGTTTAAAATGATATTATCATGTTAAAGCTTACATAAGATTTTAGTGAATAGGTATTAATGAGTTGGGATTTGTTACCTACCAAAAAATAACTAACACTCACAGTGTGCAGGTCACCTCATTATGTTGCCCTGATGAAGGGACCATGCACAGCCCTGAAACATTGGCTAGAATGATGCATGTTTAATAAAAACTAACAAGATATTCACTATTTGAATATGTTGTGTGCTGGTGATTTTCTGGTCAATACTTTAAAGCCACTCAACACCATCTGTGTCATCACTGTGAGCACCACGATTAATAACTTAATGGATCTAAATCATATGGAGTGCAGGTGACCCATAACAACACTACTTGTTCCTATTTGGAATTTGTTACCTGTTACATTGGAGATTTCCCCAGCAGAACAAGGCACACAGAGATAGCAACAGGCATGGATTCCTCCAGCTGGAATTTTCCTGGATCCCAGAGGACACGGTTTACTGCACCGAGCTTGGGGAATCTGAATGCAAAATATTGTTAGAAATGATTTAATTATACCTTCACTTTCTTACACATATTTAACCCCTTCATGACTGAGCTTGTTTTTAGTTTCTGTTCGTAAATGACTGACACACTTTTGACATTTTTGCTGTGTGATTCTTCCACGTCAGTAATATACTTTCTTACAAAGTGCACCCACACATATTATATATTGTTTTTTAGAGGACAGATAGGGCTACATATTTATATCACATATGTGCGTCTAACGCCTCACTTAGGACAAATAAAATATAAAAAAAGAGGAAAAAAACGTTTAAAAAAACACTTTTTTCCCAGTTTTGATTTGTAGTATTTTTTTTACAAAACCAGCACAGCTAAAAAAATGCAATAAATACATTCATTTATTTGTCCCTTATTTTATTTAATTTTTTACACATTTTTTTATTTTTTTTACACTTTTCACAATTTTTTTTTTTTTTTACACTTTTCACTTTTTTTTTAACTTAAAAATGTTATTTTATTTATTTAATTATATCAAGCAGATTTTGTGAATTAATCTCACTGTTACTGCATGATAAATTAATAAATTTTTGGTTATTATCAGGCTGCTTCAAACTTCAGAACAGCCGATAATAAGTTAGTGACACTGATCCTGCAGCAGTTCAGGATTCAGCTGT